CCGCCTCCCTCCCAATCTACGCCCCTACACGGAATAACGAGAATACCTTAGGGCGGAACTATCAAATTGCTTGGTCACATAATTAGTGTATCAAACACATGTAGTGTAGACAACCAGCTTCAAATTCTGTATTCCCTAAACAAACTCGACTATACAACAAAAGATTATTTGGCGACATCGTCAAAAATTGGACAAAATTCAGCAACCATAATCCAGCAAATATTTTCAGCAACCATAATCCAGCAAATATTTTCAGCAATCGATGCTAGTGAGTTTGACAAAGCAAGGGAGCTTACTTTGTTGAACTTGATGAACTGCGCCCCAGCAACGCTTCTGAAAGGCGACGCCTTCAATGCGGAAGATGTTTTTCTAAACTCAATTGGGTTCTTTTTCAGAATCCGACAGCACAAGAATTGTAGTAATTCTGATTGCAACCTGGATAACGAAAATGAGATAAATCCGATCAGCGGGCTAATCCTAACAAAACCAAATGTTATAGAAAAAATTCTTAATACGACAACGGTTTCCAACCCGTGCGAAGTCTGCAATAATGGGGAATGTAAGACTTGGTATACCTGGGGGCCGCAGGGAGCCCATCCGTTTTTTTGTCTCAACCTTGCAGCTACTGCTGATCCTTGCTCCAAAGATGATGTCCCGAAGAGTTTAAATGTTATTCAAGAAAGGTATGACGTTTTTGCCTACACAAGAATGAAATGGGGCCATTTTAAAACAGTCTTTCTGTGGAACGGATCTAAGTATGTCTACGACGGATTAAAGCCGCATATTTTGCAAAAGTACTTTGCTGAAGAAGGAAGCATTATAAGTACTATTTGGTTAAAAAAACGCTAGCTCACTGGTAAGAACATGGTTGAAATTAATTTGAAAATTCGGAATTTTTACGCCCATATTTATAACTATACTGTCTAACTTGTAAATACTATCGTTTAGTTCGTATAATTCACCGTTGTAGCAGCACAATTAAATTAAATTTAGAACTTTAAATCGATACTTATTTCTAAAATTGCCATCCGTATTTTTTAAAACATACTTGTTACTAAATAATTTACAATGCAACTGCTTAATAGTTTGCATGATTATTAATTTTTAAAAAACCTGCCGGAATAGCTGATCGCAAGGGAGTCGAATATTAAAACTCGTAAGCTTAATCTGAGATCAAAATTTACGAAAACGTAAAAACCTGTCTAAACTCTAATTTTATGTTAACAAATATTTATATTTAATAAGTATTAAGTTTCCAAGTACTAGTTCTTAAATTTTTACCTTTAAATCGAATTACAAATCTTTTCCTGATCATAAACAACCAATAATCAAACAATAAAAATTAGAAATGTAAATTGATGCACATCAAATTTCCTTGCTTGAGAAAAAGTCATAACGAAGTTGTACAATTAACAATATTTGAAATTCAGTTAATTAATAAGCCAAATAGAAAGGAACGAAACATTCTGTATTAATTAAATGTAGTGATTTATTTCTTATTTGATCATGTGCTAAATTTATGATTTTTATATACATATGTTATGAATTTTGTAAGGTTTGAAACAATGCAACTATATAATTTATGACCAGTAATTACTTGCCAATGAGTTACGAATTATGAGCAATTTGGTTCCAATGTCTGATTATTAACCAATTTAGACTTAAGTACAAACATTGAAAGAATTTAACATTTTGTAATAAAATTTCTATTGATTGTAAGGTTTTGATTACTTATTGGAGAAAAATTCAAAAGACGAAAATGCATGTTATAGATCTTTGTACAAAGATTATGCAACTCAAAGAAACACAAATGAACAATTTAATATCATAAAATGAATTCCGTACCACATCTGAAGGTACACATATTGTATGAAAATTACAATCCAGTACCCAAAATTTTGTTTCTCAAACTATGTGACCTTTTAAATCAGTATCGAATAAACGTGGGCTAACATGTAAAATAATCAGAAAATCTTCAGTCACTAATTGATCACCCACTAGAAGCATTTGTGAATAGTTTTTTATAATGCTACATAAATTGTGAAAACACAACTGAAAAACGTTGGCTGCTTCAAATAATTTCACTCGTTTTTATATAAACATGTCCCTTCCTTTCAGGGGGTGACCCAAGTAGGTTTTATAATTGTTAGTAATTCACGCCCACGATAGGGTACAATCTTTGTTAAAATAAAATAATTCCAAAAAAGGTGCCCTAAAAATTAAATGTTGGTACTCCAAAATAAACTTAAAAATATCGATCCGTTCCAGCGTTCCGTCTTGTCACGCATACATACATACGGAGACAGTAGCTGAAGCAACTGAAGCAGTGGAGGCGAAATGAGCAACTTATGAGGTCAACTCAGATGTTTGGGGTGATCTTATGAAGGGAAGTTCCGGAGTAAAATGAAGATTTCCCGTAGTGGGTTAATGACATTTTTGAGGTAAAATGAGAAAAAGGGGCTAGGGGTAGGGGCTGAGGCCAGCCTTTAAGGGGCTAGGGGCTGAGGCCCGCCTTTAAGGGGCTAGGGGTTAGTGGCTGAGGCCTGCCTTCAAGGGGCTGGGGGCTGAGGCCCAAGGGGCTAGGGGCTAGGGGCTGGGGCCCACGGGGATAGGGGGTAGGGGCTGAGGTCTACCTTCAAGGGGCTAGGGGATGGGGCCCACGGGGCTAGGGGCTGAGGCCCACGCCATACGAATTGTATTGATCCTGAGTTTTTTTTTACTTTGTCCTCGCGTAGCTTTTTCACATGAATTTATTTCCATTGGGGAAGTTGAGAGTGGGAGTAAATAAGTCATGCAACGCTCTTGGGATATTTGTACCATTACTACAAATTTTGCAGTGCTACTCATTAAGTAGTTGGCCTGAAATTAACTACAACTAGTCTCCAAATTGTGAAAAATTGATTTTTCGACTCCCATATAAATTTGGATTGAAGTTTTATTTACAAGGTTCAAATAAATAAAACGCTTTCAATTTTATTAAATTTCAGATCAAACTGTTAATGAGCCGTAAATATGTAAGTTGTGAACAAGCGGACTCTATCGCAATTTTTTAATTTGTTTGAATTTCTACTATTGCACCCAGAATTTTTCTGGGAGTTCAAAAATGCTAAAAAAAATCAGTTTTCCAAACGTTGGCGACTGATAGACAAGCTCATTTTCAGCTCATTTACATTACATTGCATTACAACTCCTACGCAATGCTATACATTTGCATATGTGATACGGTAAATATGTAAAGTGGAACTACAAAATTACACGTATTGAATCTTTTCAAAACTTCTAGACATCAAAATGCATGTGATTTCCTAAGCAGTGGGTGGAAATTTGTCTCCAAATTATTTGCAGTGTCCACGTGTGCTGTCGCCTACAACGTAAATAAACCCTCCAAACGAATATAAATAAGTAGCCTCAGACCGATTCCAGTTTCCTTTAAAATTTCTCCATATATGACCAGAGGTCATAAGGTCAAAAATTTTAACGTCCTTGAAGTCGCGATCAAATTTCCTTTAAAATGACACTCCATTTGACAATTAAGTATCTTTTTGACCTGTGACCTTGTCCTCAAGGTCATGAGGTCAAAAATATTAACGTCCTTGAATTCGTGGTCAAATTTCCTTTAAAATGACACCTCATATGAAAATTAAAGTTAAATTTAATTTGGACCACACCCCCTGGCGCCGTAGGGTGTGGTCCGATTGACACAATTTCCGAACTCGACCGAGAACTAAAAATTAGAAGCACAATGGCGAAAACCGGGTTTGATTATGTTGACTCGTTCTGAAGATATCCTGCTTACGGACGGACGGACGGACGGACAGACAGACAGACAGACAGACGGACAAAGTGATCACAATAAGTAGCTGACGCTACTTAATAAATTTGATCCGTGTACAAACTCTACACATGTATTTAGGTATTTATGTATAAATATGCCGGCGAGTTACATAAGAATTTAAGGATTCATACATGCTAATATGCAATATTAGCATGTATGAATCCAATATTGCATGCTTTAACAGGATTAAATATTATTTATTTAAGTTTTAAGACTTACAATTAGCAGTACATATATGGAAATAATTATTTAATGAGACACCATTTCGCATGAAATATACTATTTAACGTCTTGTTTTATTAAGTAGCGCAAGCTACTTTATGCGATGAGTTAGTTAGTCTGTCTGTCCGTCTGTCTGTCTGTCTGTCTGTCAACACGATAACAGGAGAACGGATCGAGATAATCGAAATCCGTTTGCGGTATCATACATATGACCCTAGAGGGAGGATCCTGTAAGCTTTTGGGGTCAACCGGACCACAACCCCCGGGCGCCAGGGGGTGTGGTCGGGGCAAAATGAGATTTTTAGAAAAATTGAATCTATGGATGAAGTAGAGTTGAATTAAGTGTTCACGAGTTGTGCCACACACCCCGGGCGCCAGGGGGTGTGGTCGGGGCAAAATGAGATTTTTATAAAAATTGAATCTAACATGTAGGGCAAGTAAAAGAGTAAGATTGATTAATTAGTTAATTAAGATTGATTAATGAAGATTGATAAAACAGTAAAACATGTAAGATGCATGGTTTTTCAGAGTGGCTACATATAAATGAGGAAGTTTAAATTATTTTATTATTTTAAAATAATTCAGATTCTGCAATCTATATTTTGTATCGCATTCTCAGCATTATTGCGCTACTTGTGTACCCTGCGTTGCCGCAGTTTATTTAAATTTCAATAACTTAAATTAGACAATATTGGGTTTGGTTAATCGAACCTAACTCAACGTGTCGCTTTTTGAAACCCGAGTGAATGATCGGTGACTTTGTCGAATAAACGCACCTAAGAATGTAAATACAAAAATTTACAAAATTATTCATGTAAAATTTAGTTGACTCGACCTAAATGCAACAACCTTTTTATTTCTATCTAATCAGTTCGTTATCAAACACAAATATTCAATTACATAAATATGAGGTGACCACGGTGCCAGCTGCAAAGTCCGAGTGGGTACATGCAAATGTCCATATATAACCGAATCAATCGAGCAAACGTGATCATTACGTTTCTTTAAGCACAACTTGTCTTATTATTGCAGAAATGGCGATCTCGAAGAACTTGCACATAAACGGGTTGATTGGTTTTGTGATGGGAATCTTGATTTGCTGTGAGGGCTCTGCTATTGGATTACAAATGGACCAGCTCCCAGTCGTTTCACCGACTCCACATCACTGTGCTAATTGTAAGACATTATATTGCAAGCTTATTATCTAAATAAATACACTTTATGAGATAAGTATATGTTTGGGTATGTTGGAAGGCATCGAACTGCACACGAGTCAAAACTAGTTCACGTAACTCAGAATAAACTTACAAAAAACTTCCTTAGCAACGTTTAAAAAATTTCTTAGCAACCTTAAAAAAATCCTTGGCAACCTTAAAAAAATCCTTGACAACCTTAAAAAAATTCCTTTGCAACCTTACAAAAATTTATGTTGCAGGGTCCAATCCCAATCCCTATCCTACCCAATCCTTAACGACGTTAGGAAATTACATAACCAATTTTGAATTTCATATTCAACGACTAACCATGGTATTTCCTTATTACCTTTACTTCCGAATAATACTTGTGAGTTTACACTATTATGCATAAGAGGATGACTCTATTATCAAGATGGAATTATAATTTCCATCTAGATTCGTAAATGACGCGACTTACATATCGTCGTTGAAGCTGCCAAAGGAGCTAAATCCATTTTGTGTTAAATGCCAAAGGAGCCTAATTTACCTAACTTAACATTGAGAAGGCTCCTTTGGCATTTAACACAAAATGGATTTAGCTCCTTTAGCAGCTTCAACGACGATATGTAACGCGGTTCATAATTTTGGTACGTCGGTTTAAAAGTTTAAGTGCACTCTAAACAAAATTGAGTAAAAAAGAGGATGACACAACAGTCGAGGTAAAATTTGTCCAAAATTGAGTAAAATTTGCCCAACGTTGTGCGAACAAGGTGCATCATCATCATAATTTTACTCAATGTTGGACAAATTTTACCTCGACTGTTGTGTCATCCTCTTTTTTACTCAAGGTTGGGCAAATTTAGTACAACTTTTTTTAGAGTGTGTATTAAATAAGCCAAATTTTATTTCCCAAGCTGAACATTCAACCTTCATTATGATGGAGGTAACCAACTGCACTGAACAACCGTGTCCTATGGAGGTGGGAGGGACATACGAAGTGTCACCTTCATTCGTGCCTGGTTGGTGATGTCAAATAATTTTATTCAAATTCATATTGTACCGACTGGTTAACTCGGTTAATATGTAATATATATTTACTTGTAGCCTTCAACACGACGGGAATGAGCTACTACGCCTTGTTTTTCTACGAAGGTCAAAACTACGGTTTTAGTCCGATCTATTATCCCGATGCTTTTGTGGCTTTCAAGCAGCACAAATTACAACGAGAATTTGTGATTCCGACCAACATCCGTGGGGTGTGGTTTTATTACAATCTTGGTTTTTTAATAAATCATTTCACTGATTTAGACACATCCATATTTTGTATTTACAGCAACCCGGCACCTTTCGAATGTTTCTGGTCGACCGTACCGGTGTAGTTCACATCAGTCGGTGTTTCAGTGCTACTGTCGGAATTTGAGTGTTCTATAGGAAATGTTTTATCAATTTACGATAATATTGAATTCTAAGCGTTAAATTATTCTCATGGCTGATAGTGAGATATTGCCAAATTATATGTAAATTGGCGAAAATAAATAACTTGCAGAAAATACGAAATTCGAATGCGTCATTTGTTCTTTTGCATTTAGTGATGACGAGATATTTGTATTTATGGATGGACGATAAGCTTATGAATAAACTTTATAAAATCATCAATAAAACCAATTTATGTAGAACAATGTACATATTTATTATTCACTTTGACATTGAAAATCGATACATAAATACTAAATATGTATTTATAGACTACAAAGTTTGATTAACTTTTGTTCTCTTGTACACATTTTTCCGTGCGAAACACAAACTTTTCTCGTTCCATGATAAGCGTTTTTTGCATCCCTTAAGTCCGTCATATTTCATTCTGGAAAGGCATTGGTTTCCCAGTGTAGTTCGTAATTGTTGTGTAAATTTGTTCACAATTTTAAAGATATTTTGCATCTTTACAGCAACAGTTTTACACTTAACATTCCTTTCCAGGAGCAATATTCCGAACCCTATTAAAATATACATGAAGCCACACGTCCAAAAGATTGGGACCAAGTGTATCACCCTGACATACAAACTGCCACTAGCATTCACCTCGAACCGTTTCCCGGTTTCCTCCCTCACCCTCATCTCACCCCAATAGGCGTAATATTTCTCCAACAAGGTCGAAATTCCGGCAGCTTCTAAAGCTTTAATTCCCCTAATGATGGGGACCCTTAAGGGATTCTGAACCACCCAGAAAATCATTGTTTGGGAAAACGTTTCTTCAAATTCGTAACAATTTTTGGATGTAATTTTCTGTAATCTTTGAATATACGCTTTCACCGCCCCTTTCTTACTTGTTCCCAGTCCTTTTAGAAAAACTCCGGTGAAACCGATGTTCTCAGGGTCTTGAAGAAATGCGTCTTCCGCTTCGTCCAGGTTTGAGACGACGTGGAAAAAACTGGTTAATTTAGTCTTTTCGGTGTGTGGAAATAGTTTTTTGAGTTCTGGGAAACGATGCTGCACAGGATTTGCATCCTTTGGTACGGCCACCGCATAGCCGAGGTCCATTAGTTCGGCTGAAAATATGATGGGGTTATGTCAAATTTTTAAATTATGCAAAAGTTTGGATTATGCAAAATTGTAGATTATGAAAATTTTGTAAATCAGACAGAACTTTCTAATTATGCCAAATTGTGCATAATTCTAAAATTTTGATAATCTTAAAATTTGCGGAACTCAAATGCTTTCGCAAAATTTAAAAATTACGTAATTTAAAAATTTTGCAGAATTTAAAATTTTGCACAAACTTTTATCACTAAGAATCTTTTAACTATCGAACATTGTCATAGTGTGCAAAATTTGTAAATGACACAAATTTATAAAATATGAAAATTATAAAAATTTTGATAATCTAAAAATTTGCGGAACTATAATGTTTTTGGCAAATTTAAAAAATGCGTAATTTAAAAATTTTGCAGAATTTAGATTCGTACAAACTTTTAAATTAAGAATTTTTTAATTATTGGACATTTTTAAAGCATGCAAAATTTGTAAATTACACAAATTTGTAAACCATGAAAATTATAATTTCAACCCTTACGTAAAGATTTGGCCACATAACGTGGCGCTGGAACTAGAATCGTACTCGTAAATTCCGCCTCGTATCCCAACAAAATAAAAAAACTTGCCAGGCTCATGGTAACCAAGAGTTTTCCCCTGGTGGACGTCTCTTGTCGCACAGTTATGCCAAAACTGCAGAAAAGTGTTTGCCCTAGATTTTTCGCGAATAAGAAATATTGCAGAAAACCAACCGAAATAAAGGAAATTAAATACAAAGCCCACACCCTCGCTTGCATCGGGATCACCCAACTTCTTAATTTGTAGAGAAATCCTTCCATCTGTGGGGAAAAGCCGTGTCGCTTTTCGCAAAATATTACTTGATACCCTGCAGCCTTAATGAGGAGGAGGATATTGGGGTCGAATTCGTATGGATTCGTTACAAATCTGTGGTGCAGCATAAATCCGCTAGGAACGTGTCGAGCGTTGAAAGTGTAGGTTGCCGTAAAGTTGACTTTTTTCGAGAGGATTTCTATAATTGAGATGTGATAAGTGCAATACCTGTCGGGGCGAAGGGACCACATGGGAGATGGGCAGATGGGGAGGGTAGAGGTGTGTAGTTCATATCTAAAGAGGGTGTCGGCTGGTGCGACAAATACACCGATGACAGTGGTACCCTGGGTGGATAAAGGGTCGATTTTATGGGTTTCGAAGATAATCGTAATTTCGTAGGGAGGCCTTCTGGCATACGTTTTTGGCAAGGGAAGAGGGAAATTTTTGATAATAGTTCGAGGGGTCCCTACCGGATATATGTGGAGGTTCCAGTGACCCTTAAAGGTAGTGAGGATTAATTCTAAGTATGGAATTGGGAGAGGTTCCGAATTATGAATTTGATATAAGATGGCGACGGTAGAACATTTAATCGACAAGTTATTTTTCCCAATTATGTCGGAAAATATGGCTACTTGATTATTTATTGTGGTAGTGTATCGTGCAATTGCAAATGTGGCTGGATCGAAGAGGGTTGTGTCATTTTTGAATAAAATGCAAGCTAAGGGTAGAGATCTCTTGTCAATTGGAAGGAATCCGGAAATTAATGGGAGAAAAGTGAAATATATTGAAATAGTTTTCTCCATTTTTAAGCCAGGTGATGATGAGTGGGTGAGAAAGTCAGCCACAGTGTAAAAGTTGTAAAAAGATAAGAAATCAATTGACTATGGAACAAAAATACTATGGAATAGTTTGCCAAGATCACTCAATGTATCCCAGTTGAATTTACAGCCTTTAAAGAAGTCATGAATATTGTGGTCTAGAAGGGAAATGATCAGTTTTTATACTACATATGTACATACTATTGCGTGTCTAGAAATTCATGGCTGGCATTTAAAGGCGGATATAAATAAAATATTATATGTTCCGCGTGGTGGACATGCATACGTGACTGCTGTTTACAGGTATGTGTGCTCGTAGGCAAATTCAGCACCAAGAATTTCATATACATTAATTATTTTGATGTTAAGTGCACTCAAAATAATATAATGAATCGGCACCGTGTGGAGTCAGGATGAGGCGCTACCGACTTCTTGATCATCTAATGCAAAAACGGTAATGATAAATTTTGGGAAATTTGAATTTATTACCATTCGTAAAATAGTATTGCCTTATAGCACTATATTCAGTTTTCTGGAATTTATTGTTATTGATTTGAAGTATAACAGACTACTACGAACTCGATAGAGCTAGGGGATTCAAAACCGGTTTTGCAAAACCGGAGAAAAACCGGTTTTCCGTGAAACCGAAAACCGGTTTTTGCAATTCTAAAAACCGGGTTTTCGCCAAAATTTAAAATTTTTAAACGCTATTATTTTTCGAATTTTGAAGCTATTTAAACAAAATCGATAACGTTCATGCTTAAAATTAAGGCCTGTAATTGTTCTGAAAAACTATTTGATAATTTTTAACAGAATTTTGCTGTTCATTGGATTTTACACAATTTAAAAAGTGGCAAAAAGAATCAACAAAAATAAAAGCAGTGAATTTGAAAAACTACATGAATTATTAGCACGGGGTGGTGTGTTCGTATCATACTAGGATAACCATTTTTAACCTTATTACGATTTCGCATTTCATTCATAAATTAATACTCGGAACTTCAAATTTCTATTTACATAAATTTCGAATAAACTTCGAACTTTGTTCTAACCTAGGTATATGTACACGTGTAAAAATCCGGGAAGTTATAGAATTTGAACAGTTTTAAGTTTTGGCTGAAAATTGTATGAATGCGTATTTTAAAAAGTCATACATACATACCGTAAAAACTCAAATAGTAACCCTTGCTCAAATAGTAGCCGTGTTCAAATAGTAGCCCTGCCTTTTTTCATAATTTAAAAAATAGTGACCTTGCCCAAATAGTAGCCTTGCTCAAATAGTAGCCCTGTCCAAATAGTAGCCTTATTCAAATTATCTCCGTGCGTCAACTTCCAATGTACAGAAGTGTTCCAATGTAGATACATACATAGATACAACCACACATGTAAATATCCCGAGACAGCTCATTTAAGCAATTCAACTACGATTAGATTTAATCCCAGATGCACAAAATCGAAGTGAACAAGAAATTCTGCTTATCGAGGAAATTGATTATGAGCAGGCCGAAACAATAGGATTGGCATCGATTATGATTTTAAGAGAGAAATTTGTGCCGTTATTAAAATTTACTCTGAACTTGATTCCGGACAGAAACATAATAGGTGTGCTCAAATAGTAGCCCTGCCGTTTTTCGTAATTTGAAAAATAGTGCCCTTGCCCAAACAGTAGCCGGGTCCCTGCCTCCCATTTTGTAAATAGTAGCCCCCGGCTACTATTTGAGTTTTTACGGTATGTAAATATGTGCGGTCCCACTTGTACATTTTAGAAAATGCTTATCTTGTCCATGAATGGATAACAAAATTTCCGGTCGAAATCCATTGCAAATGTTACGTAAGGTTGCTCGTATAGACATTCGCCAAAAATGCGCAACCTTGAAAATGGGTTAAAATCTTAAAGATGACACGCTGGTCTCTATTTTTATCTCATTTCCTACGAATGTAGTATTTTCTTCTGGATTGTATATCGAAGTATATCATGCTTTCGTATAATTTTTAGAATACAACAAGGCTTCGGTTATATATTTACAATTAATTGATATTGTCGTATTACGTTAATTGATAATCCATTAATTTAGGATATATTTTCTCAAAGAATTAGAGACGATATATTTTTTAATTAGTTTGACGTTTTTCGTAAATCTTTCTGTAATGCCATTGTTTTTAAGATTAGGGTTTTTAAACCTAGGATACCCACATACTCAATTTTTCTACCCTTCTAGTCCGCAAAACATTATTTTCGAAAAACGGTGAAAACCCGGTTTTTCACCGGTTTTGGTGGGTGGAAAACCGGAAAAACCGAAAACCGGTTTTCAGAAAAGGGTCGGTTTTGAATTCCCTAGATAGAGCCTAATAGTGACTCCGCAAAGTGGCGATTTATTAGAAAATTATTATTTTTTAATTGTACATTTGTTCATGGCATCAAATTTGCTATCCACGTGTGAACCGATTCTTTTGAATGCTTCAGTGAGATGGGGGTAAGGCATCAATAGGTTTGAAGTCTGCAGTTTGGAGAATTTTAAAATAGTAAACCTGCACATTTTCTAAACTTAAACACTTCGGTTTATCGATCTCATTCGCAAAAATGGAAGAAACACGGAAACACGATTCAATAAAACTTAGCATTGCTCCTAGCTGGTTTTGACTGGGCAGGATTTCATATAAATTTTTGATAAATTAATAGGTTGCGTGTTTTTAAGTTGATAATTTAATTCTTGAGGCATGCAATCATTCTTGGGCATATGAGATAAGAATAGATTTATTTTAAAGAAGAAAAGTTCAATTGTTAGGATTGCGCCGGTATTATTCGACACGTGGAATTGATTAGTCTCAGGTCTCGATCAATTACTATATTTTATTAAAGGAATATGTACATTTCAGAAGGAAAATAATTTTCTTTTATTTATTAGCTCACCCTACGCGTAGTGTAATATAATGCCAGGGCAGGTCCCAAAAGTCCCTAGGGGTGTAACCCGAACTAAATATGCATATGTGTAATCAGAGGGACTCAGTAGACGCATACCAAGATTTTTAGTGACCACACCCCCTGTGGGAGGCGTTAGCCCCCAGGGGGTGTGGTTCCTGAAATTTTTATATTTTCGGAATCAGTAACTCATACTGTCTCCAAATCCAAAATTTTTTTAATTAAAAAAATTTTTTGGCCAAGATAAAGCCGTAAATATAACCAAAAACATGCGTATTTTGGAAATTTTGAAGGGGTGCACCTTTTTTTGAGCAGCTACCCTGCCGAGTTATTGGCGTTATCTAATACAAATGGGGTAGTACTACAGGCCACAATAAAAAGGTCCGTCGGGAACCTGCTCACTTGGCGGTTATCCAATTTCAAAATTCCTTGAAAAACGTCCATCTGCGCCTTTTTGTAAAGGTCCGATTTCAAAAGTTTTTCTGAGTTTAGCGGACGTAAACTATAAAACCAGACTCGAACAAACATTCTACGTTCGCTAAACTCAGAAAAACTTTTGAAATCGGACCTTTACAAAAAGGCGCAGATGGACGTTTTTCAAGGAATTTTGAAATTGGATAACCGCCAAGTGAGCAGGTTCCCGACGGACCTTTTTATTGTGGCCTGTAGTACTACCCCATTTGTATTAGATAACGCCAATAACTCGGCAGGGTAGCTGCTCGAAAAAAGGTGCACCCCTTCAAAATTTCCAAAATACGCATGTTTTTGGTTATATTTACGGCTTTATCTTGGCCAAAAAATTTTTTTAATTAAAAAAATTTTGGATTTGGAGACAGTATGAGTTACTGATTCCGAAAATATAAAAATTTCAGGAACCACACCCCCTGGGGGCTAACGCCTCCCACAGGGGGTGTGGTCACTAAAAATCTTGGTATGCGTCTACTGAGTCCCTCTGATTACACATATGCATATTTAGTTCGGGTTACACCCCTAGGGACTTTTGGGACCTGCCCTGGCATTATATTACACTGTGCTACGTAGTATGAGAGCTATTGAATTCCTCTTGTTTGTCTGTCTTTCCGTCTGTGTGATCACGAGTTTTTTCAATCAATTGATGCCAATTAAAAATTCCCTTGTCCATTATTGATTAACTTATTCGCACCCTTTGGTATCCAACCGATGCCGGAAGTTTGGTCCAAGTGGCGTCTAAACGAGGGAAAATTAGACGTGGGTAGTGTGATGGGATACAATGAAAGTTGTGAAAGAAGATGTGGGCGTGCATAAATCATTTGTAATCCAGTATTAAAATAATACCAAACGGTATTCATGTCTACCCTAAGGCAATTTCGTGTGTTTTCACCCATTTGCTTCATCTCATTTGCAACGGTTTATTATAATAAAATTAAGGGATGCACTGACTGAGTAGTGAAAATCACGCCGGCCGCAAGTACTCGGTGGCCAAGTACTCGATGGATCACTAATTTAGTTTCAATTTCCGATTAAATAGTGGGATGAAATCAGTTGAAAAAAATGGCCGTTAAAATTGCTTTGATTTTTCCTTAAGGTTTTGCGTCACGAGAGGAGGAGAAATCGGTGTTGCGGAATTTTCCCAGTCTTGCTGATTAGATTTATCTTTCTCTGGTTAGGTTACTCTTTCTTCATCTGATGGTACCTTTTTTTAATTTTTTGGACTCGGGGGAGGGACTCAAAATCTTTTACCAGTCTACATAAGGTTACATTAAGAGCTGCCCGCATATTGTAAGTGTCAGGACGTTTGGACCTGCAGAAAATGAATGCATGAATCAAATCCAACGAAATTTTTGTGCAATACTAATGATGATCATTCCGAGGTTTTTTAATCGTTTAGTGGTCCAAATACACCTTCCCAACCGGAGGAGAGAAGACTTTGTCGCGCACCTCTCATGAGCGCATATGACGAATTTCTCTATAACCCGCCGAGATTTTGGTGTCCTTTTTTCATGAGAATAGTATTTCTTAATTTATGCCCAAAATCATTCAATGGGTCGACACTGAGGTACTTTTGGAGCGCAGTCTTTCTTATCGACGAAATCAACGTTTTTTCCTCGGAGGTCCTCGGCCATTATTTTGGCATTGTGGCACGTACCCAAGTTCGGCGAAAATAAAACGTGTTTGTTTTCGATAGAGGGGGTCAATCTCTTGATGACACACTCTTTCAAATAAAGTTCAAAGTTCACGTTCTTGGTGGAAGCGAATGGATTTGAGACGCTCCCATTTTTATCGATCGTCAGCCATTTTATGTATTTCATTAGAAATTTTGCTTGGCTTTGAATTTATATTTCTAACGAACGTCATTTTTAGTTCTACATGAGTAGAACTTTGCGCGATTGACGCTTCAAGGTCAACGGGGCAGTAGTTTCCATGATCCACGACGACAAACTTCTGGGAGTCGATTTCAACATTTTCTCGTCAAGTTTTCGACAATTTGTTTTAGCTCCTGTTTTTGTGTCTTCATTATATTTTGGTGCGGTTTTAGTGTTGCAAGTTTTGAAGCCCATCTTATTGGCTTTGATCTTGCGCAGATAGGCCTTTGAAATTTTAAGTTGTCTGGGTGCAATCCTCACGGATCTGTTGCGGTTTTCTGTAAAAAAAATTCCACGTTTTTCGTCAGGGTTTTGGTCTGCTGGGGGACAGGTCGACAAGGCCAAATTTTATATTTTGCATTTTCACGATCCTTACATCCGTATAGTGTATGATTAATTTTGTCCGGTGCATCCCTTGAGGGATAAAGTGGCACCAGCCTATTTTCGATTCGAGAAAATCACTTTTTCGCACGATTGGCAAACTAATTTTTCCACCTCCTCTTAATTTTGTGCTGTCATTTTTTAACGAATAGAGATAATCAAATTCTGTTTTCGGTTTTAGAAAGCTTATTAAATTTACCGCTTTTGATGCCTTTTACATTTGCAAAATTCATTTTTAACTCGGTGAACCAATAGAGGGAACCTTGACACTTTCAATATGCGGGCAACTCTTACTTGATTGTAGTCAGGTTGCAATAATAAAAACCAGAATCTCGAGGGCCACAAAAAAATTGATCCTGTTAAGATTTTCATAGTTGGTAGAGGTGATTTTTGTGAGTACAACGGTACCAATACTTTGGTTTAACTCCGCCCCTTCCCCCTGGGGGAGGGGCCGAAAGTCGCAAAAATTGTAAACCGGACAGCGGATTTCTCGATGATGGGTGAAATCGAAATGCTACTTTCACCAAAAGATTCCTATTTGTTTTCTCTACAACCCTACATAATCGAGCGTTTTTGGAAATTCGAAAATAATATTTTCAAAAAATAACTTTATAACAAAATAATAATAAGATTTACTTCATAATAAAATTTTGGATGAAAATTGCATGTCTCACATCACCCTCTAAATAAAAATGAGTAAAATTTACTCAAGGTTAGGTAAAAAAGAGGATGACACAACTAAAAGGTAAATTGTACCCAACGTTGGGCAAATTTTACACAATTTTGGTCAAATTTGGAACAACTTTGGACGAATTTTACCCGTTAGTTGTGTCATCCTCTTTTTTACCCAACCTTGAGTAAATTTTACTCATCTTTATTTAGTGCACGGAAGCACGAATGGGAAAAACTCAAAAATATTCTTCTGGCCCTATGTTTGTATGCAAATATGCATATATTTATATCCAACTACCTGCATATGCAAATATTAATCAAATCAAATTTTTTTATGACCCTGGAGCTTCCGGTTTTCATTATTGCTACTCATTGCTACTCGTGGCTTACATTACTTATGTAAGAGCAGGGTTCAGAAAACCCCGGGGTTTTTCTAGAAAAACCCGACCCCGGGGGTTTTTCCGGGGTCTTTGGGGTTTTTGTGGGTTTTTGGGTTTTTGTGGGTTTTTGTGGGTTTTTGTAGATTTTGGGGCAGGTTGAACCAAAATTCCTAAAATTATATATTAGAGAAAAACGAATTTAATATACGAATTTAGCATGCAATTTTAAGCGTTATCATTTACTTGGACTGTTACATCGAAAATTCATGTTTAACATGTCAATCTGGAAATATGCAATGATACTTGGAAATTCAAGTCTCACATTAAAATTCTCAAAACTTCATGATGAATCCGACAATTTAATTAGCATTGATCTAACTTAAAATTTAAGGGATTTTGTTTCAATATGCCTTAAAATCTTACAAAAACCCCGGAAAAACCCACAAAAACCCACAAAAACCCTCAAAACCCCAACCCACAAAAACCCGGGGTGGCGAACCCTGCTTAAGAGACCCGTTGGCACCGTTGTTGCAAGCATCACCTCATTTCATTAGTTCCTCGCTCTCTCTTTTCTCGACTAACGGGCCAATTTGTATGTTAGCACCAAGACAGTTAATATAACTATGCAAAGCAGACATACAGGACAGACGATGAACAACGAGTCTTGCTTCTGCCTGTAATCTCTCCCCAGCTGATTGTACATACCCCTGCCGGTTGAAAAATCATTTATTGTACAGACGTCATCATCCGCACTTTTTGGGGATAATTAGCGAACCACGCCCCCCAGTGTATTTTTAACGAAGAAATAATATTTTTAGTTGTGGAGTAAATACGAATATCACGTGTGTACATATTTACATACGTACAAATACATCTTGTGATCACTTAATAATTACAATTTAGCAAACTGATACGAACCTGGAAATATTAAAATCACCTTGGAATGGAATTAGCACATCAATCGAATTCCTGCCTCGTGGAAGATGTAAGTAATTATTCGTTTAATTCGTCCTTTTTTAGCTAAATTTTACTTGAGAGCTTTTACTGCTTAGTTTTTTAAGGGTAGAAATATTTAATTGGCATCGTACGTACATGCCTTCTAAAATTTAGTCGATTATGTAATAAGGAATGAATAAATAATTCATTAATTATTTAATAAATTTATGAATAATTAGAAAAAAATCTTACAATGGAGGTCTCCCAACGTATGCTCACAGACTTGGATCAAACTAGCGTCAATCGATCACAAATATAATTAGTATGAAATTTGCAAATCGAACTATCTGCCAATGTGCAGGTTTGGCGGAGATATTGGTGGAGATATTTTGGCGGGAAAAAATCAAAATTTATAGCAATTCGAATGGTAACCAACTATATTTCATGGTGACATATTTCGACACACATTATGCAAACAAAAAAACATTCAGTTTTCATGTTTCAATTTGGGGGCCCCGTTCGGGCCCGGTAATTCATGATTACGGCACTGCATCCCTGGCAGTCATGTGACGAAATCTGCAGCTGGATTAACCATACAACAGAAGGCTATAATAGTATCATTGCGGAAAGAGTCACACGGCCTCTAATGTAAGAGTACCATTGGTATGGATTTCGGTCTGGGCTAATTTTGTGCAACAAATTTCAAAAAAGGAAAACTGTAATTTTTTTGTAAGGTGACGTACCTATTTTTTGGTGGAATACGAATTATGCAAACAAAGAAGAAAAATTTTACGTTTTAAAATTATTTGAAAATTAGCCCGTGCCTAAATGCTTGCACAAATCCGTACCAAAGGTATTAATACCAGAGATGAGTCGGGACATAAATTTTTGATTTTCCCGATCCGTTTTTCGGGCTAGAAATACTCATTTTGACCCGACCCGTTGTTTCGATTCTCCAAAAAACCCTACTTTTTTCAAATCGGAGCGTACAAAAGTGTAGACAACAGGCTTGATGAGGAGTATAGAGAAATCCATTTTATAAGTCGATTTTGAGATGAATGAATAGAAATATGAATGATGAAAAAAATATTTATTTTCAAGCTTTGAATAAATTAATAATGAATATTTTGTATCAAATTTATTAACTGGACGAATTTCGAATTAATAAATATCAGCGTCCTTACTTCGATTAAACAATCATTATTACACATCAATTAATCCATATAATTAAATTGGTTCTAGGTGGTCATCCTGATTTGCAAATCGTTGTCCGTGAAAGACATTAAAAATGCCAGATTGGTCAGCAAAGTGTGGAATTGTGGGGCGTCATACCGATTAAAAGAGTTGACCCGACTTCACGTGGATTTCAACCCAAGAAACTTGGATATAAGTTTGATTAAGGAGCAATTAAATTTCTTCCCACACCACGTGTGCATCCTTCTCAGAGGGATGACGCGGATAAAGGCAGCAATGTTTTCACCGGAATTGGTTCCGTCGGGCCTGAATTTAAGAAGTTTGTGGATTTCGGGCTGCCCACGGAATAAGTGGGACGACCTGGTGGTGACGTTAGTTGGCGAAATGCTTGCCAATAGTTCCTCATCTTTAGAGGAAGTTAAATACTATGGTTACATCCGGCCAAAATTTGGGGAAGGAGTGGTGTTTAAAAAAGTGAAAAAATTGAGGGTTTATTCCCTCCAGTTGCGAGAATTGTCGCATATTTGTCGAATTTTTCTAAATACTTGTCCCAACTTGGAGCGGCTGGAGATGGATTATGCAGGGAACAATTTGTGGGTGAGGGATCCTGCACGGTTTCCGAGGTAGGTAAATTTGGAACTTTGAAAGTGGTTTAGTAAAGTTTGATTAATCGTTAAAAATAGTCATTCATTAACGCAGTCAGTGAGTAGTATACAAATTACAAATCAGAAACACCATCAATAAATTAATAGCCATCATAGCGGACATAAAAATCAGAACCCAGAAGAAATATTTCCAAGTAAAATTAGTTTCAGCATTGTTTATAGTTTTCTCAGATAACGAGCGTATTTGTGTTTTGTAGAAATGTGAAAAATTATTTTACGTAATGTATCTACGGATTTTACAAAGTGTGCTAGAACTGTCCGTTTATTTTAAGTTAAAATGCGTTTATGTTTCACGTCCTCCTCCCAATTCGATTTTTTGATTGGCTGAGCGAAATTATCACTACGACAATTTTAACCAATCAATAAATAGGATTTGGAGGAGGACGTGACAGTGATGTGAAGCATAAACGTCACTTTAGAAGACCAGAAAATTCATGAAGGCCTTTTTTTATATATTTCCCTCGTTTTTCCTATGATTTTCATTAGTTATATTTGGCATAAAAGGAATTTCATAATAAAATATTGCGGCAGTTCACGGAAGGCTTAGTAAAATTCGTAACTTGTGCAGTTACGAATGCAGTAATTCGTAACAGTTAGTCAAAATAATTTGACTAACTGTTACAAAATAAAATGACGCCCTTCATCTGAGCAAGTTTACAAAAAATTTGCAAGTTTATTATAAACATGAGTAAAATTCTGAAAATGTTTGTAAGTTTATGGAATTTTATAAAGTAACGAAAGATTACGTGAATTGGCTATCAAGTAAAATTTCTTACCCGTGCTTTCAGCTCCTTGACGAGTCTGATCTTCAACTCGGTATACCTTCAGGAAGCCTGGATTGGGAAGAATTTTGCCAAACAGCTTTACCTAAATTTTCCAAATCCTCTCCGAGTCCTGCATTTGAGTCAATACTGTGACGAACCGGAAATGCATATGTCGCTATATGACCTTCTACAAAAACATGCCAGTACCCTTGTCGAGCTGGGTGTAACCTTGAAGGCATACCACCGCGATCTGTATCTTCCTCCCCTGCCCGTTTTGGAATTTCTGGAAATTAACGTGGGCCGAGATCACGAACTCTGGTGGCTGGAGGAGGACGAACAGGGCGTGGACCGGGAAACGTTAGGCTATGCAAAATTCTTGCCGAAATTATCCCGCCTCCATTTAATGTGTGGTCAGCATGTGGATAGTACTTCTTTGGTGGATTCATTCATCCCAGTTGACCCAAATGAGTTGGAGGACTATGCCGGACCGGGTTGCAGAACTGTGAAGAATGTCGTTATTCGTGAAAATCTAGTGGATCCGGCAAGATTGAAAGATCGGTTTGAACAATACTGCTATTTGTGTAGGGTTTGGCCGGAAGCGGAAATAAAGTGGGATACGTTCCCTTAATGGCATTCAGTGTCCGCATGCATATTTTGGTGATTTTAGAAATGGCCAGGGCTGTGGTACTTAATTACTTTTGTACTTAATTACTTACTTAATTACAGAACTTGAAGTAATTAGTAATTGGTAATTGATTTCAATTACTCCGGTATTTGTCAAAGTAATTAATGGTCATATTAACAATCGAAAGGACGACCTCAACCTAAACTCATCCTCAACTTAGGATGAGGAGAGGTTGAGTGGCTCCTCAGATTTATTTGATATAAATAATGAAAATCGCTCCCTTCCTCAATTGAGGAGAACCTTGACCTCCACTCAACTCAGCCGCTATTATTTCCGCTCAGTTTTTTTTGCCCAATAACACAGTTCCCAATTTGTTTCGAACTTATTTTCATTTTAGCTCACTGTAAAGTATTTTTGAGCAAGTTTTTAATAATTTCGAGAACAATTAACATGTCACACAGTGATTGTGAAAGTGTCACAACCAATAAAAATTTGTCCATCGGGACAAAACTCACACCGTTTACTACGTTAGAAACAAAATTACTACAGAGGTCAACGCCGACCAACTTGGCGGGGGCGGCGCCAAGTTTGGAGATTTTTCGGCTCGGCGCGGCGCCTCAATGTTGAAGGAATAGGGAATTAGCTTTATCAGCGGCGGCGGCGCGTAAAATTCTATCGGCGTATGGCGGCGCGGCGGCTTGAGTTCGGCGGCGTTCACCACTGAATTACTACTCTCCCTCGTTGAAACTAAAAATAAAATTTTAGAAGAGAAGAAGACAGATTTTAAGACAGGTTTTTAAAATCGTAGGAAAAAAAAGCCAATCGCCATATTCATAATTGTAGTCCATGCGATTGTCGACCTATCATAAAAATGTCATCCAAATCCGTCCATAAACAAAACAGTTATGAGCCAGGGAACCTCGGCGACAGTCAAAAAACGCCGACTTTAGGGGCGTGGTTCTACGAATGGGTCAGATACAAACCTCCAGAAAAGGCTCTAAATGGTAGTCCCAGATGAGATCTACGTGATCCAGGAAGAACGGAGATCTTGAATCTGCCCCTTCCCAAGATATTAGCTCGGGAACATTGAAAATAATCATGTCGAAATTGGTCAAAACGGGTGAAATTCAACATGACGCAGAGCAGCGAAAATCGATATTTAGCTTCAGCTAGGCATTAAATGTCTGTCGCAAGTGAAATTAACCCATGTCGCAAGGGAACGACGTCGACATGTCGAAATTTCGACATGAAGCTAGAGAGCTGAAATTCAAAACGAACACTTCCATATTCTTCAAATTACATATTCAAGCACTTTTGACCATGTCGACAGCCTATGGCGTTAAACTAAATTCCAATGTTGAAATTTCGACATGCCAAGGCTGATATTTGGGGATGAAATTTTTATGGTAGGTCGACAATCGCATGGACTGCAATTTTGAATATGGCGATTGGCTCTAACTCCACTAGGAAAAAACCACACCCAAAGTGGGTGTGGTTCTTCGGAATATTTAGAAACAGTTGTTCGACCCCTCAGGGCTAGGATGATACAAAAATATCTCCTAAAAGTGCTCCTGGAAATTTGAGCGATAATTTGGTTGGATTTCCCATTGTGTAGATGGGGACATTAGCATTGTGGGATTAGGGGAGGGGCTTATTACGACGATTTTGCTCAATTTCTGGGGGGACTGTCCCCCTGCTTCCGCCACCACAAGTTTTTTGCGTTGGCAGCGTGGTGCGACGCGGCGTCCCAATGTTAAAATTAGAAATCAGATTTATCGGCGGCGCGTAAAATGCTACCGGAGTTCGGAGGCGATCATGGGTGGAATGTACTCACCTCTGGACTTATCGGAAAGATAAGTCTGGACTGATGAGGTCCGTTAAAAATAGCTATTTCCGTGTACATATGATACCGTGTTTTTAGCTTGACAGCATTGTACTACTCGAGAGGATTGTGCATATCTCGAAGTCTGGTCAGAGGCATTTTGCGACCCGAATTTGTCATTCCGGACGATAATTAAAATTTACAAACCATAAAAGTGATTTTTTGGCTAATAATACTGCTTTAACCACAAAAACAACGCTAAAATTGTATGTAAGTGGCCGTTAAGGAAGGTACATGAGGTACCTTGAGAATTGAGTGAAAAACTCAAGTTCTGAGGATTAGGTCAACCTTAAGTTTTCATTGTTTATATGGAGAAGTTGAGGTGAGGTTGAGGTTAAGGGTCACTTAAGGTCAAGGTGAGGTTGAGGTTGAGGGATCCCTAAGTTTTCATTGTTTATATAAATTAAGGAGCCACTCAACCTTTCCTCATCCTTAGGAAGCATTATTTATAGGGCCATAAGTACTTAAGTACTTGGAGGACCTGGAGTAATTAAAATTGGAAGTACTTAATTAGTTTGCCAAGTAGTAATTAGTAATTGAATACTCAATTACTTTGATCAATTACTTAATCGAACATACTTGGAATGAAATACGACAAGCCTCCCTCTCCCGAAGAACTCGAATTATGTAAATATATTTTGTTGTGAACGCTTTGGTCATCATTCCCATTCAGCTTTTGGACTTCAAGCTTAGTACAATTTTATATTACAATTGTTTCGACCACCTGTGTTCCATGAACTGCAAAAATTACTTCAGCAATCTCGTTAGTCAGATTCAGATAAAATACATTGGGTAGAAATGTACGCATTAACAATTTTAATGTTGTAATTGTGGGAAGAAAAGGCCATTATCTATCTGGAGTAAAGATCCACAGCAATTTTAAACTTTTGGATCATATAAGATGAACTGTTTGCTGTACCAAGATATTTATAAAAGTTTTATCCTATTCGGAAATGAATGTTTGGTCGAAAGTTAGCCTTTAAATAGCGTTTAATTAGTCTTAAGTATGAGAATTAAGTAATTAGTAATTAAGTAATTGACTTTCAATTACTAATAAGTAATTGGTAATTGAAAGTCAATTACATTCTCGCAAAGTAATTGTAATTGATAATTAAGTTCAATTACTGGACAAAGAAGTATTTGTAATTAGTACTTAATTCCAATTTTCGCAGTCGGAGTAAATTAAGAATTAATTACTTCCATTGGTAATTGAACAGCCCTGGAAATGGCTCCTTGATTTTGAAAAAATATTGGCAATCTTAGATTTAACTTTGAAGGAGCTCTATTGTTAGATAATTATTTTAAAATAAGGGTGAAGTTTACATTCACATATGAGTGTTTCATGTTGTGGAAGCTATTGTTTTTATGCATGCATGCACAAGAATACATGCACAAAAATGGGTGAAATGCAAGTTTTGCAGGGAAATATTTAGTTTCTAGAAATTTAAATTTTGGTACCCCTCAAATAGGGGTAGGATTGACAATGCGATGGTGTGAAGTGTAACCGTCCGATTTGGTTGAAATTTTGAAATTATGTGGTCCATGTAAGTAAAAGCAACGTTTCCCTGCAAATACGTAGTTATCGCTATTATTATCCACGCATGTACTGAAATGCATGGTTATTTTCAACAAAGTGCAGTCCTGTCTTAATTCGAAAAAGTAGTAGTATGTAGAATTATAATGCTAGAAACACGTATGTATGTAAGTGCACAACAAAAGCTAATAAAAGCCCCAAGTACAATTCTACTATAAAGAGGTAACTAATTGTGCATGATTATGCTGTGAGTCGAAATATGTATGCATATCTTCGCAATCTTATCAAATCTATATTGTGACTAAGCATACGTAAGTTGGCTCAAATTAAAATTAAACAGTTTCAAAGGATCATCTTGTACGAAATTCTTTATAATTTTTAGTATTTTTTGCCGTCCTATACACATTGCAGTTTTTTAATTTGCGGTGCGAGAAATGAAGGAAATTCACAAAAAAACGAAATACTGAAGTTGGACAAAAAATTTATCGACTTGAAAGTTTAATTCATACAAATATTTAAATAAGTCTTGTAAATTTCTGGACTGTTGAGTTAATTTTCCAGCAAATCGGCTCCAAACTTGGTCCAACTGCAACATTTTAAATAAGTCAGATTGGCCAATTTTGGTCAAAATGGTTTTTATTTTTACGGTGCGTGCAAAATATTGCTTGTTTAAAAACTCAAAATATTTAGTTGTAATCTGACGTATGTATTAAGCTTTTTAAATAGGGCAAGACACACCACTCAAGATTGAATCACTTCTGCATGCAAATCTTGACACAAAGCAGGATAAGAAGTACTCACCACGTATTTACATAGTTGTAGTTGTTTGTCTGTAGTATGCATGTACAGAGTGTGAAAGAGTGGTGGTGGGTTTACTTATTATGTAAATGTTACATAATGTACCTGTCGTCAAGCCGGTGGCATATATATGTATAATTACTTTGGTACATGGAATACTATGCAGCATGACTAAATAATATAAAGGCTGGTTAGCAGCTGGAAGGATTAATCTAAGATCCAAGACATTCGCTTCTGGCGAGACAATTTTTTAAGTACTGATAAAAAAAACAATTTACTTAATACAAGGTTTCGATGCTAGACTTGCATCATCGTCGGGAAATAAGTATTTACTTAGCATATGGATTTATTCATAACATAAGTAGAAAGAAGTTCGGTAATTTTACCAAGTTGTGGGGAAGAATTGAGTAAACACGACAACCTGATTTCGTAACAGTCCTGTTTTATTTTTATTTACATACCGAGCGGTCCAGAAACCAGGTAACAAAAGGGGCGAATTTTCGTCCAAATTTTTTCAATGCTAGGTAACAAATTGTCATTTTTCACAAAAGAAAAAAAGTGCCAATAAAATAATGTAATTTGGAAGGAACCATAATTTAATAAAATTTTAATAATTTTTCGGAAAAGATATAACCCGTGGTTACCTTATTCCTTGACCGCTGCGTACTTATTTACATACCATTTAATTTGTAATAATAAAACTTTTACAGGAGTCGAAATGTGTTCAGATGAAAAATACACGCGTATTTATTCTCACGGTTGGAATTGTGCAGTGTTTCCACTCCTCTCCGCAATTGTGCTGGGTTGTTTAATAATTGTTGGAAAATTGATCATAACCCCGAATCAGGATTCGCAAAGTGCAATATCACCTACTAAATTCCACTACTTTTTAAAAGGTCGGAAAGACGTAGATTTGACCAGGGAGAAAGTTTTGGCCCAGTTATCGTCATCCACAAGACCAAAAAGTGTTTATTTCTATATTCATGGATTCGACAGCGGTTCCCTTGAAGGGGCGGAATCACTCGTAGTTAAGGATGCCATCCTAGAAACTCAGCAGGTTTGAAGGTTTAATAATTACTGCTAAATATTAAAAGGGATTAAATTAACGACCCACCTAACATTAGGAATTTTGCCCCCTAAATTGTGCGAATTAACCCCATTGATTTTTGCCCCCACATAATTCTTTTTTTACCCCCTAAATATCAAACGAATCCCCCTAATAAAATGACCTGAGAAATACTGAAAATCAAGTGTAATTACATATACTCCAAACAAAGTTGAGTAAAATTTGCGATGACACAACGAGTTGTGCAAAATTTACCCGACGAAGGTAAAATTTAATCAAGGTTGAGCTAAAATTCTACAATGTTGGATAAATTCTAACTTTCATAGTGTAAATTTTACCCAACCAGTTGTGTCATCGCAAATTTTACTCAACCTTGAGTAAATTCTAATCAAATTTATTTACAGTGTATATTTAGATCGGAATTATCAAGGATAATCAAACTAATTAAAATTTAAAGATATTTTATCTTGCGGGATTTCTAAAATATTTCAATATTTTGCAAATTTAAATTTTGCGTAGCATTTTTACATATAAATATTCTACATTTGTAGGAGATTGATCTGGTTGTTGTGGTCGATTGGTGTGAAGAAAGCAGCCGAGGACTCTTCACCTATCCGGATACGGCGTCCTTCACCGTGCCTAAAGTTGCGGAACACGTGACCCAGGAGGTGAAATGGATTGAGCGGAATTTAGGAATTCCTCGGTCTCAAATTAACATGGCAGGCCATAGTTTGGTACGTATTCTTTATTTATACCCAGTAGTTGTAATTTTTGCAAATATGTACATTTTTTAGGGTGCCCACATTATGGGAAGAACTGGAGAATTACTGCAGGAAAGTGGGGGTGGAAAAATCGCTCGCATGACCGGCCTGGATGCCGCGGGGCCAATGTTTGACGATTTTTTTCCACAAGATGACCACAGACTTTCGAAAGGAGATGCCGATTTTGTGCTGTGTATTCATACAGATGACATATTGGGAACGACTAATCGCACCTTTTGTCATGAACATCGCTTCCCTGCAGTGGACAGTTGTGGAGTTGGTGGGTTTTGTTGTAGGCATAATTCCGCGAAAAAGTTGTTTGTTGGGTATCTCAACAATTGTGGCGGTCTTGTCAAGGAGGATGTGGGGACTGGGGCTTGGTACAAGTGTTGGAGGTGGCTCCTGAATAAAGTGCCGTTTAGAAATATTGTAATTACGGCACATTATTCGACATTTTTGTTAGTCCTGTATTTCATCATGTTAGGACTTATTGTCCTGTGTGTTACATCGTTCCTCTCGTGTTGCTTTGCTGCTCGGATTTGTCAATTTTTTCAGCACAAGGTAGCCTGTGGAGGGGGAGGATATGGTCCGGCAGCAAGGGAGGAGAATATTGAAATGGTGTAATTGTAGTTATTAAAATAAACCAGGGATTCTAAATATATTAATAAAGTACTTTGCGGTTTGGAAATTCGTTTTCAAACGATAAAAGTGGCAGTCATGAATTTTGCAATAGTTACATACATAATGTAAATTTATTAAATTTATTCCCGAATAAATAAGCATTATTCTTCTGATCTACTTTTAAAAGTAAAATTAGATTTATATTAAATATTCTTAACACTGACATTCTAAATTGCAATGAAAATATACGGTCGTCTAATATTAACTTGTTTTTTTTTTTCGCGCTAAAATTATTCAGGTAAGGTTATTGGTTACCAATAATTTAGTGTGGTTTTATCCTACGTCCATCGATGGGCGTGGGGTTGGCAAGTGACGTTTATTTCGGAATGATTCTTCCTAAATATTTATACCGACTGAAAGCTCGTCACATTTAAGGCGTAGACAAAATGTCGGTCAGGTTTCTTATTCTCACAGCCGGAGATGTATGCACAGTAAAACTTTGTTTACAATCGCCCTATATGTACAACTCTTTAGCCGTAGGTCAACATTGACTTATCTATTTGACATGTTTGATTCAGTAGAAATGAACATTTCTTCATTTATGTATGCATGTGCAGCTCTACCCTTTTCATGTTATTAAGTTCAAGTAAGAAATTAGTGACTGAGTGTCTGAAAACACTCTTAACAATTAAGAAAAAAATGTTTTTTCCTAGATTCAGTTAAACCACGCGAAATCGAATCCTAGCTTAGGTACCCTCTTCTCCTCTTGATTAGTAATTAAGGGACAAAGTTCCTTTATGCATGCGTCAAAGTCGTCCATCCTTCCGTCCGTGACATAAAATCCTGCAGTTACAAAATTTCAAAACCAGTTTTGACTTCGTAAATCTAACAAGGGAACCTTAAGTACTGTCCCATCTCGATTTCCTTTCGGATAGTCTTATTTGATAGATAATTTAGTGTAACTTAAACTTTGTCATAGAATATACGGTGCAAAATCACGTTGTCGCGAAATATTTGGCGAGAGCTGGTCCAAAACGTGTCATTTTTCCAATGCTTTTAACATAGATAACAGCCCTCGGAATGATGAATGAAATGAAGTTTATAAATTATATACCTGTCTGTAATTTCATGCTGATCACCAATATGTAAAAACAACTATGCAAACATTTGCAATTTTTTAAATTGCGAAATTCTGCAAAATTTTCTAAATTTGAATTTCGTCATTTTTTGACATTGCAATAAAATTTAAATGTTAAACTTCCTTTAAGCATTATAAAAAAGTTTTAAAAGCCCAATTTTTCCTTACTTCAACACAATGGACCAAAATTTTCAAAAATTGAAAGTCACGATTTTTCGTGGAAAATAATAACATGATGAATGCCAGTCTATTTAACGTATTCTTCAAAATTGTTTGCTAAATTCACTTTTGCAAGTTGTAATAAATTCTGTAAATTTGTATCATCAGTTTTTAACATACTCAATAAAAGAACTTTTCTATTATAGAAATTCTATACCTACTTCCAGATTTTAAGCTTTTTGGAAAACTGGAAAAATTTTCATCTGGGAGGGACCCGATAGGGTCCCTTCAGTATGCTATCTATATACGACGTCGTATGACAAAGTTTAAGTTACACTAAATTATCTATCAAATAAGACTATCCGAAAGGAAATCGAGATGGGACAGTACTTAAGGTTCCCTTGTAAGTCAAAAATTTTGAGTCAAAATTATTACAGACGTTCTTATCTATGCAAGGTCTTGGTTTTCCCTAATTGCCAAGTTGCACCGCATACACAAGCGAGAGCAGACGAATGGAAAACCGCTCAATTTTTAAGGGTGCATCCAATTTATATATGACGGGAATGAAATAGTTTAACACAGAGTGTAATTCTTATCATTGAAATGTTGTCGTCTATCCTGCTCCCCTATTTGAGACGTACGTTTTCTACTGCCGACCGCTATTCGTGGTTGTCCTTCACGTTCGACAAGGATAAGGAAGTCGTTACATTGCGACAGGGACGATCCGCTAAGTTGGACCGCCTATCCTTTCTGACCTATCTGATCCATGTTGCTCATCAGGCGTATGGAATCCTGTGGCGGTTGTGGCACAACTCCGGTTCCAGCGACGTGACGCAAATAATTTCTGCAATGTTCTGTCTATCCTATGTCGTCACGTTGGTTATCGGCCTGTACTGGGAGGCTGATCAAGGAGTCCCACCTTTGCTGAATGTGATCACAAAACGTTCAACGGGCCAAGAAGCGGCAAATGGTGAGGTCGAGGACTACAGATGAAATAATCATTTCAAATTAGAATATTTAATTCTTAGGAATCAACCCTGCCCGCCTTACGGTTGGGAAGACGGTTCACCTACCATTCAGATTAGGGATCCCGGCAGCACTAATTTCAATCAAGAAAGACGTCATTAAGTACCATTCGAGCAAAAGTAAGATTTATAACGCGTTCAATCTGTAGTAATGATAATGAAAGTTAATATAAAGTTAATCTCTCCATTCCCAGATTCTTCAGAAAAGGCGCGAGTCATTGTCCGGAGCATAACGCAGGTCATGTTTCTCAACATGGAAATTGCCCACTTGATATTCCCCCTCGTTATTGCCGCCCTTGTGCTGTTCATCCCATGCCAGGAGCCCTTCCTGGGTTCGATCCTCCTTCATCGGAATTCTTGCCAGGCTCCCGGACCACTTATCCGCGTAAGCCTGGCTACCCTTGAATTTGCCGCAATGCACTACATGACCATGGGTTTGGGCGTGTCTGCTGCTTGTGTCTTATTTGGAGGAATGATCCACCTCTGGCTGGAATGCTCTGTGTTGTTTGAGGTCAACCGCGTAAAGCTAACCGGAACATATAGAGGGCTCCAAGTGTACGAAAAACTGCTCAACTCTTGCATCCAGGGTCGCATATTTCCCGTCACCATGTCGATCAGCCCCCTGCTCGAAATTCTGGGTGCGTTTGCCTGCATCCGCCTCCGTGAGGGGATGAACCCCCTGGTATTTTCATTCGTCGGAATGGAAACCCTGATGGTCACGGCCTTCACGTGGATCCTCTTTTCCGGTGCGGGCAAGATATTCACGGGCAGTGCGCAATGGTTGCGGGATTGTAAGGCGGGGACAAGTATGCGGTTAAGTAGAAAGATATTGGCTTCTTTGACACCACTGAAAGTAAGGTTTGGTCAGAATTTTGTAGATGGATTGACCCCACTTGTGGTACAACAGTTTTGCACGGATCAGTTGGTTAATTTACTGCTGCTGTTTTAAAAAATTGTGAAATTTATACTGAATGCGAGTTTTATTTGTACCTATGTACGATGATTAATTTATGTATCATTTACTATATACTTAGGGTTGACATGACGTATAAATCGAACTTATACATACATAATTATAACTTATAAACTGTACGTAGGTATGTACGCCAGACATTAAATTATAATTTTATGTAAACCTCTGGCAACCGTTTTAACTATAGGTTATACTTTATACGTCATGTCAACGCTAAGCGTGTACTATCACATAATATGTTTATTATGTTTATAAACATATTATGTTTACTAAGTTTTCAAAATCAACAATTTGCAAAATTCATTATACATAATTGCAGTGGGCCTGTTATTTAGTAAATGTAGCTTATCTGTCGTAAATATTATATTACAGGTAAATATTATACACATTAAAGTGTGTGGTCAATCCACAAATAAAAATGCTAGGAACCCAGTTGACGTCTTATCACTTACATCAGTTTATACTTATTCCATAAAAATGTATCATCTTCACAACCAAACAACGTTTGCCATGCTGTTTGCCTTTCGCAGTACGTAGTATGTAAATGTGTGTATGTAGTGGAGCACGTAAATTCAGTTAATTGATCGACTGGTATGCATATAGTCATGCAGGCAAGTTAAAGGTGATCGACAAACATGTTTAATAAAGGTAAATATTTGATTTAGGCTGGGAAAGTGAGATCAAATTACCTAGACCTTCATGCGTAATTTCTGGTTTGATGTTTTGTAAATATTTAAGGGTTAAATTTAATGCACCACCCAATAAGCTGAAATCTACCACAAATTTTAGCTGAATTCGCCACCGAATGAATTTTTTCCAACATTAGCCTTTTTAGCCACCGATTTAGATGGTGGTTACCACAAATTTAGATGATTTGCCATTACCATATTTAATGAGCATAGGATTATAAAAGCAATATAATTTACAATAATATGATTTATTTATTTGTATAATACCTCTGTATACATGTCTCTTTTATAAATACACCTGAAATTAAATAACCTAAGCGCTTTTTTAGCTTTCGCAACCCTACATTCTTACGCTTTTGACCAAATGGAACGGTTTTGGCTTCTGGTCTAACATCGAAACGCGTATTCTGAACTTCTAAACCAATTATTTCCTTGCGTCCATTTTTCCAGGTCTTCCAACAGAAATTTATTTATAACAGAAATTAAAAATTGCTAGATGTCTCTCCAGCCGTAACGGCAATACTGGTTGGGTGAAAAGTTCGGTTTTTTAAGAGACCCCCACTACTAGCACAGGAAACCAGAGTGTAATCGGATCGATTTTTTTAAATCCGATTCGATCCGACTTGGTCGGATCCTTATAAAATCCGATCCAATCTGACCTGGTCGGATCCTAAAATAATCCGACCCAATCCGAACTGTCGGATTCGGATTGGACTGGATTAGTCGGATTAAATTCGATAGCCTACTGTTCTATAGTATAGTCGGATTGATGTTTTTTCAAATCCAATCCGATCCGATCTGATCCGACTTGGTCGGGTCATAAAAAATCCGATCCGATCCAACTTTATTGGGTCAGACAAAATCAAGCCAATTCTACGCTGTCGGATTCGGATTGGATTAATCCGGTAAAGTATATCTCCTAGTACTCTCTAAAGGAATATTAGACGCAACTGGGCTTGAGTTTCTAAAATTTGGGAGAATTTTCCTCAGAAAGAGAGTATTCGGTATCACTGGTCTAATTAAAAACTTGCGAATACGTCATTTCTTTGGTTTTAAAAGACGTTGTTCAGATAGATATATTTTAACTGCAGGACAACTGTAAGAGTAGTGATGACCACCCGAAAGGTAATGCATACGTCACTTCTCCTGCCCAGTCTAGTCAATGATATACAAATATATATATATATTTGTATACACAGCCTATGTATACAAATATATATGCTGCATGTACCTGTGTAACACAGGTACATGCAGCAATAAGGTTAGCAATCAGGAAATTAGCATGATTTCTTGAGATTAGTGTGCTTATATTTTTGTACAAATATATTACCCATGTTTTTCGTCATTAAATGTGGTGATGGCAGCTCATCTAAATTTGTGGTAACCACCATCTAAATCGGTGGCTGAAAAGGCTAAAGTTGGAAAAAATTCATCCGGTGGCGAATTCAGCTAAAATTTGTGGCAAATTTCAGCTTATTCGGTGGTGCATTAAATTTAACCCAATATTTAAAAAACAAATGACGAAATGCAAACCCTCACAATCGGGTATTTTTACAATTTGCACTTTTTTATTCATCACCAAAATTTAAAACCAGATTACTGGTTGTATGCGCAAATGAAACCGAATATCGAATAAGTGCATAAACCACAACAATGCGACACATTAGTGAATGGAACACATGACACAATTCCTGGACCGCAGGATCGCTGAAAAATAGATAAATAACTTGTCAAAATCTAATTTCAATCGTACATAAAACCAAAAAATCAAACCCTACTTACTTGGACTTCCTTGGCTCCCACGGAGTCATCCACTTCAATGGACATGGATGCCGCGTTGATTACCGTGACCGCCAAAATGGAGCAAATTATTGCTGAAAAAAATACCTGGGATTTTACCGACATGATTTTGCGACTTATTGAAACGGATAAAGTTGATCTGCGTGGTCGTGCAATCGACAATCCTTTATATTTGACCACGTCCAAGTAGCTACACCCATCGCGTATTGTAAGATTAAAGTTCACAATTACCAATTTGATAAAGAAAACAGGGAATCGTAATTAAATCTGTGACAACTTTATTACACGTGTGACATGAGTGATTGTGAAATTCGAGTATCGCCTGACAATCGTGACATGATGGAAATTTTATTATTTTGCTCATTCCAATGCAATTCCCAGTTAGTAACACGAGATCGACGAACTTATAACTGATACGGTATTATGGTATCTGTAATTTTTAATTACAGATGTACCTAGTCAGGTACGAAATTCTTTGATAAACCTTTTTTACTGCAGAAAAATAACGGGTAAGAATTTTTAATTAAAATTTTCCACATGGATGCATAATATACCTGTGTATAATATAAAATTACTAAATATCCAAATTTCCTCTTCTGGAGCACACAAACTTACAAAATCTGATGGTAAACTGATCGCCTGGATTACGCACGGTTTCCTGTGGAAACTTATCCCAAGCCCTGCGTAAATTTAACAAGGAAAATTAAAGAATTTGCACTAAGCAAAAATCATACATACCCCTGGAAAATGGAAAACGTCGAAGATCTCATCCCCCTAAGTCCCCTAAGGTTTGGATTTGAATTAATCTGGTGGAGAAAGCGAAACCCTATTTTTCTCTAGAAGGGGTTACAGTGCAAGCCAAGAATTACAAGGGACACTAACGACCTGTCGTTTGAGCCAGGGTACCCACTATGTTTTTTAGAATCTACTAGGACCCCAGATGAAGGATTCATTCATATTTCCGTGTAAAACTTATATTTGGCGCCATGGCGTGGCGCTAAACTTAAAAATTTGCATTTTCGACCAATTTCAAACCCCCATAACTTTCGCAGTTTATGTCGGATTTTTAAAATTTTATGCTTAAAATGATCAGAAAAGTCGAAATTTTAGAGAAAAAAATCAAAATAAAAAAATTTTAATTTTTGAGATATTTTTAGTATTTTTTCGACGAACCCGAAATTTCGAAATTTTGCGAAAAGTTAAAAGCGATAATTTTGGAGAAAATTTCATAGAATACGAAAGTTGAACTCCTTGTCATGATTTTTGTAAAAAATTTTGAAAATCCGTCCAGGATTTCAAAAGTTATGGCAGTTTTAAAATGAAAAACCATCAAATTTGGCGAATTTGGCGCCACGCCATGGCGCCAAATATGAGTTTTACACGGAAATATGAATGAATCCTTCATCTGGGGTCCTAGTAGATTCTAAAAAGCATGGTGGGTACCCTGGACTCAAACGACAGGTCGTGAGTGTCCCTTGTTAGTGTAAAACCTTTGAAGTCCGGCCTATTGAAAAATAGAAACTGAATTTCTTAAAAGGTCACGGCTCAGCCATATGGTGCAAAAATTGTCCAAAATTGACTCTGAGCTCATTTCATCCATTTTATTTGGTCACAAAAATTCCACTGGTAATAGAAGACCTTAATCATCTGGATTATGACTTGCGGCTTAAAATTGAGACCATGGTCTGCTCTAAAACTTCCACTGGTGCAGAAGTTCTCAAATTTTGTTTCTCAACGCTTGTGACCATTTTCCGGTAGAAACCGCGCGTGCTCCAAGCGACCGGCCGTCCATCAGATTTCTCAAGCGTGTGTACTCCGGGAGAGGAAATTTGTAAAGGTAGTATTTTTATGTTATACACAGGTATATTATGCATCCATGTGGAAAATTTTAATTAAAAATTATTACCCGTTATTTTTCTGCAGTAAAAAACGTTTATCAAAGAATTTCGTACCTGACTAGGTATTTAAAAAGGATTGGTTGCACTTATGTAAATGTGTTCATACTTACTGTACTAGCGTATGAGCCCGTCTCACGCCGGGCGAGAGTTGATCTGATTCTCGTAATTTCACAAATTATATTTTTTTAGATGTTTATTAAATGAAAGTTTTTTGAAGGAAGAAAAGCAATTTGTAGCGAATATTAGGTGAAAAACTGAAAAACAAAATCCGAAATTAATTTACATGCTAAGCTAATTAACCGGATCAAACTCACATACGGAATTAGCTTCAGCGAGTTATCAATACTAAAAATTGGGTAGTTACGTGTGTGGTGGTGTGTTACCAGTTGAACTTGGCGTTCGTATAGCACATTGCCCCAGACGGGCTTAGCATGCCCCAAACCCATCTACTCGGGTTACTCAACTTGTTTGAGGAGAATTTATACGTTAATTCTCTTTATATTTAAGTATTTAATTTCTCGCCAGCGATTATTTTCAATTTATTATTTCACCCCAGTCATCGCGTTTGTTTTATCTCATTTCATCCGAACCAAGCAAATGACAGCGCGGAACACTTATTTTCACTCTATTTTATCTATAGCTCAAATGTCACCAAAAATCTTATCTAGCCCCTACTACACCCCCTGGTGGACGGTGGTTATCTGGAGGTGATGGCCAGACGGTGGTTATTTTGGGGGTAGTTGACGGACGCTGACTATCTAGAAGTGGTTGTCTGATGGTGATTATCTTGAACATAAATTTGTGTTAAATCGAAATTTTTGAATTTTTGCGCCATTTGAAGCGTGACTTTCACTTCCGTTTCGGAAAATTTGTTTTCACTTTCGTTACAGAAAGACATTTCCAGCTTATAATATAGATTGATCTGTACTCACGTTCAGAATATGTCTGTGTACGTATTTATATTTATATTTATATATTTCTTCTCTTTTTTGGAAATTAGGTCACGGTGACCGTTTTTAGGTCAAAATCCACAGCATGTCAAATTTGCCTGAGAAGTCAAAGTCTCGCATGGCCCCATAAATGGGGTATCGTTGGAAAGGTCTTGACAAGAGGATTAAGAATATATATACTTTGTGGGGTGTATGACCACTCCTTGGTGTTCCAGAGTCAGAACAATATTTTTGAGTTTGTCCAATCTATTTCTATGTTAGATCCCCAATCTGCTGCTGTGTTAAAATCTGTGGAGACTGAAAATTCCTATATATTGCCTCTAGAAGATCAGGGGGTGGTCATATACCGACAAAGTATATATATTTAGAATCCTCTTGACTAGACCTATCTAACGATGCCCCATTAATGGGGTTATGTGAGACGATTTTCGAAAAAATTTGAAATAATGCACTTTTGGACCTAAAAACGGTCACTGTGACCTAATTTCAAAAAACAGAAAAAGACCCGCAATTGTATTTGCCCATTGTAGGCTGATGTGAAATTTGGCGCCCCTGCGTGCAATAGCGGCTGCGTAAAGGTGGTATCTCAAGGGAAGCCACACCCCCTACTATCATTGAAACCGCAAAAATTCGGAGAAAATTATTTTTATGCATATTTTAAGATCCTCTAACACATAGTTGAAGGATTTCAAAAAAATCAATTTTCGACAGGTCCATTACCATAACTGGAAATCAATCAGGAAATCAATCAGGTCCATTACCATAACTCATGGAGTAACCCCTCATTAACTTAAAAAATGTGAACCGAGGTCGACAGATTGAATACTAAATAAATCATTGGAGTTGACTACACTTCAATAATGAATAATCAACTTTAATTCCAATTACTCAAAGACAAACAATAATTACAACAATTAACTTTGTAATTTTAACTCAACATAAAATTGCTACTTGCACACACGCACGTTCACAACTCAACTCTCAAACTCGAACTCAAAACTCATACTGACTCCTTTTTCACACACTGCGTAAAAAACGAGGGAAGCATGCCCAGTAGGTGGCATGCTCAACATAAAATCTCAATCATAACCAACTTATTATAAAATCATAAAATATCTTATCATAATGTCCAACATACCCCACCCAGTGATTACTTTGTCTTTCCCGCTAGCAACAACAACGACGCGGTCTGGGACGAGCAAAAATCCTGAATTACAAGTGGCGTCAGGGCATCCGCAAAGTTTGATCCAAACTCACCTCTTAATGGCCTGAATGATGACACAGCTTTCATCTTCCACTTACTGTTTCGAATTTTGTCATCCTTCACAAATTTAGTGATCCATCCCACCGATATAGTATTCACCCTAGCAGCACCCACAAATACGAGCATATTAAACACAACACAATCCACATACATTCCGACATACATTGGGAATGCAGCGAAACTAATTTTATCGTGGAGTTGGATCATGGAAAAGCAGAATGCAATTTGTAGTATCGGCAGTGTCCAGGCTACAATTGGGAATATTCGTTTTTTGAAACAATCATTCAACAACTTTTCGAGGACTTGAATTTCGCGGAACTTAGAAATTTCCATGCGGTCGAATTCAATTGCGCGGTTGCATTCCATAACCACGTATGCAATACCGGGTAGAAGACCGTCAATATTGTAGAAGGTTCCGGCAACAAATATTTGAGTGAAGGATACAGCCTCAACGATAGCGAGTCCGAGGGACAGTCCAGACACGCGACTAAAGTTCTGCCTCTGCTGACAGTGGTCCAGAGGCAGAATGAAGGACCCAAGAAATGGGGGCATGCACGGATTGAATAAGACGACAAGGCCTAGTCCAACCGGAAGTAGGATATTGGTTGTACTCATCATTTTGAAAAATATTTGGAGAAGTTTCAGAAACTTTTGGTTGAAGTTGGTATCTGCAATTGTAATAGTACTGGAGAGGTTAATATGTCTGAAATATCTATATTATAGGCTGGAAATGTTTGTCTGCAACGGAAGTGAAAGTAATTTTCCGTGACGGAAGCGGAAGTGGAGAGAGTTTCACTTCCCTTGCCAACAGACTTTTCAGTTAACAATATAGATACAATAAAAACAAAATTCGGTGGAACTATGAACAATCCCACTTAATTTTCATGAAAATCAAATAAGCCCGTCGCCCGGTGGGAGACGGGCTTATACGCTAGCTAAAAAATTACGGGATTTTGCATTTTGTGCACCTTTTTGAATTTCTTGGCGTGTTATACAATTATGCAGACTCAAAAGGGCAAGATCTGGTTCCCATGACCACCACAGTCCAATACAGATGATATTAAGGGTTGTGAAG